AACATTCTGGATCAGCAGATCCTGAATATGACTTAGATCATATTTTGGTGTGTGGTAGATCTTATGTGGATGTTACCGTGCAGTTTTTGTCCAGGCTATGGAGTTAAAGGCAAAACTATTGAAATTGGCCCTGTTTCACAATGGTGAAGAATCTATAAAAAAAAAATTCCTGGATCCAGATGATGATCTGAACCAGCACCAAAACCTAATGGATTGTTCACCTCTGCAAAACGTTTCCTCCAAATCCATTAATTACTTTTTGAGTTATGATGTGAACAAACCAAGAAATGCTGGTTAAAACATAACCTCCTTGGAGGAGGTGATTAATCATAAAAGGAGTAGCCTGCCTGCTGTTTTACTTTTGAGGCAGAGAAACATTCATCTCACTTTTGGGAACCTTACTCTCTTCCTGCTGGCTGACAGAGCAGAGGTCCTCATACAGTACATGGGCTCCACTGTTTGTTACTCGTTCCGTAGTGTCGTTTATTTCACATCAATTTTTTTTCTCAGGACTCTCGGAGAAGCCTGGACTCAAATGAAGAAGAGTCTCCATGATGAGGCTGAGGTCCACCTAAAGTTCTCCAACAAGGTAATATGTAATGTTTTTAAAAGATGTATTTATTACAGCTTAATAGAGCTGAAAACCACTAGTCTATTAATGGATTAGTTGACTGACTGGATAGATTTGTTTTGAATAAAAAGTTTTATTTTGATTATCAATCAATGGATTTAATGCCTTTTTCAAGCAAAAATTCTAAACATGCTTTTACATGAGTGGGACTGTTTTTCTTTATTATTTATGCTTGTAAAGTGAAAATCTTTGTTTCAAACTGATGGTCAAATAAGTGAACAAATATAGAGGGTGCCACCTTCTGATCTGGGAAATAATATATTTTTAAACAAAATGATTAATCAAATTGTAGAGATTTTTATGAAAAAAAAAACATATCTAATGACTTCAGTTAACTTATTTTTGTTTATTTTTCTTACTTAACACAGACAGTGCACAATATTAAAAAGAGAAGAGAATATTAATGTTAATTAAAACACTATATGAGGCAACAGTACACACTGTCAGGTGTTATTTAAAACATAAAACACAGAAGCACATAATATAAGACATACAAAGCAATGACATGGGGAATATTGCCGTTAATAGAAAGATGGACTATAATGTGCAGCATCAAAAGACACTCATTGAAACACAAAATACACACAGTACATAAAATAAAACACTGGCACAGTAAAATCCTTGATAACCTATGTAGTTACCTCAGGATATTTCTCTGAACTGTAAACATCTGGACTCTCATCTCTGTGTGGTTGCCTTTGGCTTGTAGCTTTCTGCTCCTTCAGGTCACACTTTTAATGTTTTCAATCAACTGAAGTAATGGGTACTTGATCTGACCATAACCTGAGGTGACAGGACTTTTTTTTTTACCTCAACCATGTCGCTGCTAACTGAAGAAAATGACCCACCAGCGATCCGATTGCCGGTGAAGCAGAAACTACACACTGGCCTCAGATGCAGCCTTAAATAAGGCCGAGGCAGCCTCGGAGCTTCCCATAGCCTTCTGTTGTCTAATTAATTAGTTGTGTGTTGTGACAAGTCCCCACCCAGGGCCATGCAGACTCTTTCTTGCTCCACTAGCACTCTGACACTCCATGCCTCAGTGTACAGGGCCGAGGAGAAGGTATCGCACGGTCAGGCAGGGAATGATTCAGCCTTGAGACGTCCCAGCTCATTGTTTTCTCTGAGCTTCTAATAAGCTGCCTTTCATCTATAGCTGCTATTTTAACAATTGGTAATTGACAGATTAACTGATAATGAAATGAATGTTGTTAGTTGCAGCTTTAAAAAGAATTCCCAGCAGAATTAAACACACAATCAGAAATTAGTGTTCACACATGTTTGTTTTTTTCAAATGAAACAACATGCATTCACCTGTGAAATTTATACTTGCTTACTATACACACACTATTATACCTGGAGTATATGTCAGTGTATATATATTCATGTACAGTACATACACACAAAGCACGTGCATGCACATGTGCACAGTCTGTCTCATCTTTCCTGCTATTTTTATCATAAGTCTGTTTTATCCATACACTTGTTTAACTGTGTTAACCTTGATTTAAAAGCCTAACCAGGAACATAGGCTGCAAAATTAGCTTCAGCATTACGCACAATATGCATTGCATCTCTGACAGAGAGAATGTTACCAAACCATGTTGTACCTTACCAATGGCCAGGAGCTTTGTTTTTCCCAGCTCCACTCTGAGGTGGAGAAACCCTTGCTGACGTTCAGAGGTGACAACTTCAAAAAGGACCTGAAAAAGTACGACCATCACATCGCCGACCTCAGGAAACAACTGGCAAGCCGCTATGCAAGCGTGGAGAAGGTACTGAGTCCACAGATATTAATGAGGTTTTTGAGGTATCAGCCAGTTTACCTGCAGTACAAAATGACACTGTTTACTTACTGGCAAATGCTTCCTTCCAAATGTGTGCAAATTTCTAAAAGTGAGCCTCCAGTGTTAATAATGAAAAGTAATCCAGTAACTCCTACACTTAGGACATCTTGGTACGGTACAGTGCTTTCTCGCTGCTTCACACCTGTGAAATCAGAATGAAGTCAGTTCCTCTGTATTCGCACAGGCAGTTTTTGCTTTTATTTTTGGCTGTTGTCTGGTGGAACAAAGGCATGTCTATCTGTTTAGCATTTATTTAAACATTTCATAAATGGATTATAATGTGCTACCTTGTATATTATAGTTGTAAGTAGATGTGTTTATTAATGTATTTGTCAGAAACTTCAACTCCTCCACTGAAACAGCCATAAGTGGAGGCTGCTGGATAAATAAATCTGC